AAGGCTGCCTGGTCTCAACTATTGATGCTCGAGCTCCGTGGAAGAACGGGAAGACTGAGCGAGCTGGGGGACATTTTAAGGCCATCTATGCGAAGGCTTGTGAGTTGGAAGCCCCCGAGACCAAGCAGGAGGCAGAGGCTCTCGTCCTGCAGTGCGAGGCGGCGAAGAATAGGTTTCTCAACAGGTCAGGCGTTACACCAGTACAGCGGGTACTGGGCCAACTACCTCGCCTTCCCGGAAGTCTCCTGTCAGACGACTGCATGGATCCGCGACTTCTGACTCAGGATCCCAATACCGAGCTCCAGCGGGCTCATCGATTCCGCTTGGCTGCTCATCGGGCCATGATGGAGGTGGATACTCACAGCTCAATCAAGAGGGTGCTTGCCAGCGGACCTCGACCTCGAGTGCATGTACAACCAGGAGATTGGGTTCGTGTGTGGAGAAAGTTCTCCAAAGATGCTGGTGATCGCTGGTGCCCGGACTACCGTAAGGAGCGATGGGTTGGCCCGTGCGTAGTGCTGATGGTCAAGGACGGCTCGGTGTGGGTTAATCACAAGGGCGAGCTGTGGCAGTGCGGGCTGGAGCAGGTAAGGATGGCTACCAGCGACGAGTGTAGAGGGGCTGAGTTACTGAGTACCTACTACGACGATTTGCGGACGCAGCTGGGTAAGCGAGGCAAGAGGCAGGGCTTTGCTGATGTGGCTGCTGAAGGGCCTCCACCTGAATGGGCATGGGATGGAGATCGTGAATTCTACGAGCCTGCCGAGGTGAACCCGGAGCAGGAGCAGCCACCATCTCGTGGACATGCTGACGCACCAACCCGAGCCGAAAGTGAAGGACTACCCGAATCTGCTGCTCCTGAAGTACCTGTGGTCGAGCCGAAGACCCAGGAAACCAAGGAAGCAGACGAGGAGGAGGCGAAGACTTCCCCCGAGGAGGATGAGATGGCGAAGGCGGTCGCTGAGGAAGTTCGAGCCGCACGTGAGGAGGAGCCGTACGAGCCCTTCGAGAGGAACGTAAAGCCGAAGTCCGAGAAGTTCGAGTCTGAGGAGGAGATGCTTCAGAGAGCCGCTGTCTCAGCTGCCAAGAGTATCGAGGAGGTGCCCGACTCGCCGGGCATGGAGCTGGAGATCAGTGGGCTGAGTCGTGGTCTGGTTCGCAAGCTCGAGGAGGAGCCGCAGGGTGGGCCGAGTACCACCAAGCGCCGTATCGAAGCTACTATCGCTCAGACGGTGGCAAGGAATCAGCAGCTAGATCTTGGGAATCGTCGCCCTCCCGCTGCAGACGAGAGGATGAGCGACCAGAATGAGGACCTCATGACCATCGACTGGGAGAAGGAGCTCGAGGAGGACATCTATTTCATTCAGGCGGCCGGCAAAGGAGTGGAGGAGGACGTCTATTTTACGAAGAAGCGTGGTGGCGATGAGGTGCTAGAGAGAAGTATTACGAAAGAAGAGTGGCCCGAGTGGAACAAGTCTGATGCAACCAAGTGGGACGGAGTGCTATCCACTGGAGGTGTGAAGGTGCTCAGCGTGGAGGAAAGTCAGAAGGTGAGGAGTGCACTATTGAGGCAGGGCAAGGAGAACCGAATTATTCCCTCAAGAATGGTGCGACGCAAGAAACCTTCTGAGGAGCGAGGGGTGGGGCCCAGCTACAAGAGCAGGTGGTGTGTGCCAGGTGACTCCAGACCTGCTCTCACTAGTTCGCTCCGCCCCTACGGTGACTACAAGTTCCCTGATGATGGTGTTGCAGATTGCGGCGTCCAACAAGTGGGTGGCTACCATTGGGGATCTCTGGAAGGCGTTTATGCAGTCCGACCGGCTGGTGCGGGAGAACGGCAAGCTGTATGCGGAGCAGCCTAGGTCTGGGCTACCTGGTCTCGCTGCTGGCCAACTTATCGAACTGGTGTCTGGCGTGTATGGTCTTGGAGACGCTACACTACACTTCAGGAAGGGACTAAAGAGGGATCTTGTGGACTTGGGCTACCGACAGAGCACCCTGGACCCCACTGTGTTCATGCTGTTCCCAGAGACGGTGTCTGTGCAGCCGCTGGTTCGACTGGCGGATCTAGGAGGTGAGCGTCGTGGAGGTGGGCCGGGAGTTCAGGCCATCCCGGATGTGGAGGGCATCGTGGTGGTGGAGGTGGACGACATCTTCGACGTCGGAGGCGATCGACACCATCGGCAGATGGAGGCACTACGTGGACGGAGACGCTTTGGCAAGGTGAAGACGTTGATGAAGGAAAAGGATGGAGCGATGTTCAACGGGAGGCACTACCGGCAGGACGAGCAGTACAATTTTAATGTGACCATGACGAAGTTCATTGAGGAGAGACTTGCGCCGATCAAGGTGTCCAAGGGTCATAATGCCCATGAGATGTGCAGTCCAGGTGAATGCAGTCAAGCCCGCGCAGTGCCCGGTTCACTGAACTGGCTAACTCGTGAACTCAGAGCTGATGGGAGTGGCAGGTGCAGTCTACTACAGCAAGCCTTATGTAAGCTTACTTACGAGGACGTGAAGGAGATCAACCAGTTGGTCAAGTATATGAAGGACACGGCTGAGCTTGGTATCACCGTGTGGTCGATTCCGCTCAATGAGATTATCTGGATGTCCATTTCGGATGCGAGCCTGCACAACAGCAGTGAAGGCGGATCTCAAGGTGCATATGCTATCCTGGCAACTTCGAGGTCGATTTCCGAGGGAAAGCGACAGCCTGCCAGTCTGCTGGCTTGGCGGAGCTCAAGGATGAATCGCGTTGTGGACTCTACGTTGCATGCCGAGACGTTGTCACTCAACACCGGCGTTGCCGAGCTAGGTTGGATGGTCACTCTGTGTCACGAGTTTGCTTTCTCCAGTTTCAAGCTGGACGAGTGGGAGCGCTGGTGTGAGCATCGTCGTTTATTATCTCTGGCAGGGCGCAATGAGGAGACACCCAGAGCGGAGTTTCTCAAGAAGGGCTTGTGCGTCGTGGATGCCAAGTCATTGTACGACTACCTGCAGATGGAGACTACAGGCGGGCGTGATCGCAAGTGTGCTACGCAGATTCAGATCATAAGGCAAGCGATGAATGCCTTGGGTTGCGAGATTCGTTGGGTGGATCATCCGGCTATGCTGGTGGATGGAATGACTAAACGTAAGGCGAAGCTCGACCTCATGACTCAGTTTCTGAGGACTGGTACATTTTGTATTGTTGATGAGACTGTGACCATGGAGGCACATCGTGAGCGCAGTGCTGCCGGGCAGTGGCCTCGGCGTTAGCCTGTCCTGTTTGCGCGTTCTGTTTGAATAGAGGCTGAAGGGAACAGAGATTTTCGGGAGCTGTAAATTTCCTGAGTCTAGTGCCTAGACGCCCTTCCCTTCAGCCCCAGTGTCTCCCCAGCCCAGCGCCCATATGTCGTTTCTGCAGCCATCTTGTGCTCGGGCTGGCTTACCCCGTTTCCCTCCCGAACCCACTCAGACGAGCCCAGATATCCCCGCTCTCTTCTACTTCAATCCTGTTGCTGGTCTCCACGGGAGACCTTGCTTTCGAGGGCGCTCGACTGTGACGCGCCATCGGGAAGATATCTAAAGAGGAGCTCGTCATCAGTGTCGTGGGTTTCTCAATCCCCCTGCCCTTCTCATATGTACCCCACGTCCTCATAGAAATGAACGCGCCGTTTCGCGAGAGCGTTTCGTATTCACGTGTATGACCCGACCATCAGCTTGACCATCCAACCCATGGCGATGAACGACACGATCAGAGCCAATCATTGCTTCCCGAATAGCAGGGACATGATTTTGACGATGGCCTCGAAACGTCAGGGCCAAAAGGTCAAAGTTGAGCGCGCGCTCTCGCCCCTTCCCAGGGAGGGAGGGTGGGAACCGAAGACAGGCAATGGAGGGGACAGAGGGTGCATGTGAGAGAAAGCATTCCGATGTTTAAACCTTTCCGGATCGTTAAGAAGGTGGCTAATAACATTGTCGCATCATGGAATTCACAAGGCCCCAGCTCAAACCGCTCAAACAAATCTGATAACCACTCGTTGTTCGGCGACAACTTCGGAACGTCAGGACAAGAGATTACAATGAGATGCGCAAAGTCGCCCCTCCCTGAGTTCCCCGAATTCGGGAGTTCACTAGGGACGGGTAGGGAAGGAGACATTTTTATATCCAAACTCAGCGACGCTCGAAGCCGCGAGCGCTCGGACCCTGCAGCGCGCGAGCTCTGGCGGATAAGCGGCGGCTGGACATGCACGGGCGCCCCCCTCGAATTGAAGGCGGGGGCGCCAGGAGAGCGAGCACATGCCGCGCCGGCGCCGACACTTTCGACGCAGATGCTTAGGGTCGCAAATCTCTGCAAGGCAAAACATCAGACGAAATGACTTCTTACACTGAGCTTCGTGTTGGCACTGGTCAAATTCAACAACACTTACATGAGGCAAATTCGCAAAGGCCTGGATCTCTGGCGCATACTACAACCGAGATGTGAGCGGATGCTCCATGACTGCTGGAATGTTCAACTGATGTAACAGTGCAAACAAGCCCATAGCGGAGCGAGCGAGCTGATTGCCGAGAAAAACCTTACCCTTCACCTTGGCCGAGCGCACTTCCAGACAGGTCCCAGGTTGTTTCTCGAGACCTGATCTCTGCAGGTCTATCCCAGGCGATGGAAAAGGTCCGAGACGACGGGGCCAGGATGCGCCCCTGACGGGCGTCGCACCTGACCCGAGCTGCTCTCCAGCACGCGACGCACGCCGGCTGCCCGCGGAAAATGAGCCAGTCCGAGCAGAATGCGCAGCAAGCAAATCTCGCGCGCCTCGCGCAGACGTCCCTGGCCTTGTGGGAAGCACTCGCGCTCCCCAAGCGCGCGGCTGCATGTTCCGCCCGCGCCCGCGCGCACCCCCCGCCTGGGCCAAGCAGTCACGGCGGCGGGCCATCTCGCGAGCTCGCGCGCGCCACTCGCGTCGACGCCGGCACTCGAGCGGCGCAGCTTATACAGCGCGAGCTATGCGGCGCCCAACTCAGCCGCCGCCAGCTCCTCCGCCTCGGCGGGCCCCAGGCAATTGAACGGCCGCAGCGGCGCCGCACCCCCCCCCGTCGGCCCTGAGGCGCGCGGGCGCCAGCCCTGGCCCTCTCCGCCAAATCGGGCCCAGGAAGCACCCATCGACGCAACGGCATGCCGCGCTCGGGCCGGCCCTCTCCCGCGGGCGCGCGAGGAGACTCCAGCTGCCCCCCGCCGCGCACGACGGCGGCGCCGGATCGCGCCCGCTGGCCGCCAGCAGGGAAGAGGGCCGCGAAAGAACTGAGAGGCAGACCGCGATGAGCAGGGCCATCAGCGGCACGCCCCCCCCCTCCACCAGCCGCCGCGCACCGACGGCCCGCGCGGCCAGCGGCCAGGCCCGACGGGCGCGCGAGGGCGCCGGGCGCCTCCGAGCATTCAACGCTGCCCACGCAAGCGGCAGCCCGCGCCCGCCTCTCCGACCACCGGACGGGCGCCTGACCCCCAGCGCCGCTGCGGTCTGCTCGCCCGGGCTGCGCGGCTTTACGGGCGAGCTCATCGCGGCGAAGAAAAACGCAGATCTTGCAACCCGCCCCCGCGCCCGGGACCCGCGCCATCTCCCCGTCGCTCAGGCCGACGCGCGAGCGGAACCGATCGGGGCACTTGAAGTTTCGATCCCGCGTCTGGCAGGGCACAACAATAGAGGCCTCCCAGATGGGGTTGGAGTAGATGAGGTCGGCAGATCGCGCCGCGTCGCCGACGCATCGGCGATGCATCGGCGATGCATCAGCGATCCGCCGGCGATCCACCGGCGATGCATCGGCGACGTCGGCGCTGCAACGGCGACGTCGGCACGGAGAAAATCGGGCCCGACATCGAGCCGCATCGCCGATGCATCGGCGACGCGGGGCGATCCTCCAACCCCATCTACACCGACCCCATCTGGGCGGCTGAGAAGCAAAGCGCCCCAGCCGCGCCGGGCCCCCTGGCAACGTCCTCCATGGCCATGTCGGCACAGAGGGCCGCCCGCCGCCGGCGCCGCGAGGCATGGGGGCGTCGCGAACGCGACTGCGTTGCCAGCGCGAAGTTCACCATAATGTCCGACCGCTCGAGCCGCCGCCATCCTCGACGCCCGCCTCGGCGCCGCTGGCGGGGGCCGCGGTCGCGAAGTCCTCGAGCGCCGCCGGGGAAGGCGGCGGCCGTGGGTCGGGGCGGACCCCGACGCGCGGCCTCAACAACCGAGCCATCGCCTGGGGCCCAGGCTGCCTGGGGGGGCCTCGCCCTCGCCCGCCCAGTCGGCGGCGCCAGATGCCGTGGGAGAGCCGCGCCAGGTCTCGGCAGCTCTCGCGACGGCTTCGCGGCAGCCGACCCCGGGACCGCCGCCGGGGTTTCGCAGCAGCCGCTCCGCATTCACAGCCGAGACTTCGGGGTTCGAAGAGTGGCGCGTCAGAGAACGGCGGGGGCCCAGATGGCTACTTGCAGGAGCGCAGGGGGCGCAGAGAACGATGCCACACTGTTGATCCAGGACGTCGGTTAACTATTATAACGCAGCGCCCGAGCGAGCACGGCCCCCAGCATCGCCCAAATTGAGTTCCGACGGGGATCCACCTATAGCGCGCGGCGACGTCGACGAAACGGGCGCACGCATCAAAATGTCGAATCTGAAACAGGAGCTCACAGCCACAACCCCTCGAGCGGGCGGATGCGAGAACGACGGCGATATTCTTGGAGAGGAAAAGCCCCCCTTTCAGACGGTCTCCCAAGTGGAACCTCGGAGGACCTGACTATACCAGACCACCCCAACCCAACCCGAAGACCTAAGTTTCGGGTTGGGGGAGTACGGGTTCCACATGTGGTTTTTCGATGTTCCCCGCCCCCCCCCCCCCCCCAACTGGCAATCGAGGGCAAATTTGGGCCTTCGGGTTGGGTTGGGGTAGTTCGGCGGGCGGTGAGCTGCCAGGGGGCCTCGGAGGAATCCGCGGCGGCTCACTCGCCCGACTCGTCGCGGTAGAGACGCGGGGGAGAAGGCAGACCCCCGGGCCGAGCACGGCGCCGCGCGTTTTTGACGGGGGCGCGCCCCAGACGCTTCGGGCCATCGCCCAGTTTGCTAGGCCGGCGTCGGTTTCCAAAACGCAAGGGCTCCAAAGGAGCTACCAATCGCGCCCCTAGGGGCGCCTCGGAACGCTGGGGGCCCCTCGACCACCCCGGGCCACGTCGGGCCCGCTTCGAGGCACTGCGTCGAGATCCGCCGACCCCAGAGGCGCGTGCGATGAAGGGCCGTGCTGGAGACACCACGTCGGAGACGTTGAGATCTCCCTATGTCTCCAACTTAAGAGACGTCCACTTCGCCTGACACCGCCAGCCTGCATCTTCAAAACGCCGGAATGTTCATCGCTGAGCCGAATCTGGTCCGCAGCCGGCGCTTAATCCTGGAAGCCCGCGGCGACATCGCCAGGCTCCTGCGTCTACACCCCCCCGCCCCACCCCACCCACCCCACCCTACAATTTCTCGCCCGAAACCAACCGATGCCGCCCTCCTGGCCCGGCATCCTCACCCCGGGAAAGCTCTGTTCTCGGGACTCCCCCCCACGATTTCGGGAGAGCTCTGTTCTTGGGACCCCCCTCCCCACGATTCCTCGCCCAAACACGACCGACCCCCCTCTCCGCTCTGCGCTCCTCGCTCCCCTCCTCGGCCGGGCATCCCCCACCCACAAACCGACCAGGTCCCCCAACCAGGCCCCAACACCCCCACCCACCACCCAATGAGAGCTCAATTCTTGGGACCCCCACGCGACGATTTCTCGCCACAAACCGACCAGGCCCCAGCACCCCCACCCCATGCGAGCTTTGGGACCCCCCACGCGACGGTTTTTCGCCCAAAACCGACAGGGTCCCCCCACCAGGTCCCCGCACCCCCACCCCATGAGAGCTCTGTTCTTGTGACCTCCTACACCACGATTTCTCGCCCAAACCGACCAGGTCCCCATACCGGGCCACGGCACCCCCATTCCATGAGAGCTCTGTTCTTGGGACTCCCCACACGACGATTTCTCGCCAAAAACCGACCACGTCCCCCCACCAGGAGGTCCCGGCACCCGCACCCCATGAGAGCTCTGTTCACAAGGACCCCCAAACGACGATTTCTCGCTCGAAACAGACCAGGTTCCTCCACCAGGTCCTGGCACCCCCACCCCATGAAAGATCTGTTGTTGGGACCTCCCACGCGACGATTTCTCGCCCAAAACCGACCAGGTCCTCCCACCAGGTCGCGGAACCCCCACCCCATGAGAGCTCTGTTCTTGGGACCCCCCACGCGACGATATCTCGCCCACAACCGACCAGGCCCCCCCACCAGGTGTCGGCACCCCCACCCCATGAGAGCTCTGTTCTTGGGACCCCCCACACGACGATTTCTCACCCAAAACCGACTAGCACCCCCCACCAGGTCCCGGCTCCCCCACCACATGAGAGCTCTGTTCTTGGGACCCCCCCCACACGACGATAAACCGACCAGCTCCCGGCACCAGGCCCCAGCACCCCCACCCCATGAGAGCTCTGTTCTTGGGACCCCCCACGCGACGATTTCCTCTCGAAACCGACCAGTCTCTCCCACCAGGTCCCGGCACCCCCACCCCATGAGAGCTCCGTTCTTGAGACCCCCCACACCACGATTTCCCGCCCAAAACCAGCCAGGCCCCCCCCTGGTCCCAGCCCCCACCCCATGAGAGTTCTGTTCTTGGGACCCCCCACACGACGATTTCTCACCCACAACCGACCAGGTCCTCCCACCAGGCGCCGGCCCCCCACCCCATGAGAGCTCTGTCTCAAGACCCCCCACACGACGATATCTCGCCACAACCGACCAGGTCCCCCCACCACCAGGTCCTGGCACCCCACCCCATGAGAGCTCTGTTTTGAGACCCCCACGCGACGATTTTTCGCCCAAAACCGACCACGTCCCCCCACCAGGTCCCGGCACCCGCACCCCATGAGAGCTCTGTTCTTGGAGACCCCCACACGACGATTTCACGCTCAAAACAGACCAGGTCCCCACCAGGTCCTGGCACCCCACCCCATGAGAGCTCTGTTCTTGGGACCCCCACACGACGATTTCTCGAGTCTCCCACCAGGTCCCATGAGAGCCGTTCTTGGGCCCCCCCCACACAGCGATATCTCCCAAAACCGACCAGGTCCCCCACCAGGCCCCCGCACCCCCACCCCATGAGAGCTCTGCTTCTTAGGATTCCCACACGACGATATCTCGCCCACAACCGACCAGGTCCCCCCACCAGGCCCCGGCACCCCCACCCCATGAGAGCTCTGTTCTTGGGACCCCACGCCCCGATTTCTCACCCAAAACCGACCAGCTCCCCCCACCAGGTCCCGGCACCCCCACCACATGAGAGCTCTGTTCTTGGGACCCCCGCGCGACGATTTCTCGCCCCGACCAGGTCCTCCCGCCAGGTCCCGGCACCCCCACCCCATGAGAGCTCTGTTCTTGGGACCCCCCACGCGACGATTTCTCGTCCACAACCGACCAGGCCCCCTCATCCAGGCGCCGGCACCCCCACCCCATGAGAGCTCTGTTTTTGAGACCCCCCACACGACGATTTCTCGCCCAAAACAAACCAGGCCCCCCCACCAGGTCCCAGCCCCGCACCCCATGAGAGCTCTGTTCTTGGGACCTCCCACACAGGCGGCCCTCAGGCCACGCGCCCAAAGTCTCCATGCGCACGAAGAGCTGCGCGCAAGCATACATGCCGTCCTCGGACAGGAAAGACAGGGCACGCATGCCTACCTTGGCAGGCCCCATCGCCGCGCCCGCGGGAAATGAGAGCGCAGCCCTGTTCATCTTGTCGACGGTGGGTACGGGCAGCGCATCCCGCTCCTCAATGTCCGCAGGCCTGCGCGCCCGCTGCAGCCCATGGCGCCGCCGCACCTTTGCCCACGGCTGCATCTCCCGATCGCGCACCAGGCGCGGACTCGCGTCCTGCTGCCGGCCATGCCAGGCCGCGATCACTTCCTGCAGGTCCCTGACCTTGGGGCGCCGATGGGCGCGGCCAGCGCCGCGGGAGAAGGACTCGTTGGCCCACTTGACCCACTCCTTCTGTTGCGCCGCGAAGGCCGCTTCATACTGACCGTTTGCGTACTCCGCGACCCTCGACGACTGGCCCACGAAGTCGGCCTGCGCGAACATCCGCATCCGCTGGCCGAAGAAGTCCTGCGCCCAGTGTGGCAGCAGCGCCAGCGTGCCGCGGCCGGCGATGATCTTGTCGAGGTGCGCCGCCGCCTCCAGCAGAAACCCCGCCAGCTGGTCAAACTGGGCGTCGAACAGCGGGCAGAGGAGGCTGGGGCCGTGGAGTTAGCGGACCGCTCTGGCGACGTACGCCCCGACCCCCGCCAGGCGCCGAGCCCACCTCGACGCCGCGCGGCACGCCGCGGCCTGGCGACCAAGGGCGGTCCTGCGTCGATGGGGGTCGCCACTTGACAGCGACGTGAGTTGTCTCCAGAGCGCCAGACCTGCCGAGGTACTGGGCCCCGTCGTGCCCGACGACGTCG